TTGAGACCAGGATTTCTTGGGCTTCCGGTATAAGAGCACATACGTTAAAAGACTTGCCCATCAGAAAAAATCTGTTAACATTTGGTCAGCTACAATTTCAAGCTCACGCCCCCTCATGTGAGCCCATACAAATTATGTCTCAAAAACACGGTTTTTGTTGTTTTTTCTCTGTAAATGGATCTTTTTTTTGTAAATAACTAAAACTAAATTTCTTGCAATTTGTTTTGTATTTGTTGTAAATTGTCCTGTAATAAAATAAAATTTAAAAAAAATTATGGTGGTAAAATACACCATTAATAGTCGGTTATTATAACCAATTGATGGTGGTAAAATATACCATTAATAGTTGGTTATTATAACCAATTTATGGTGGTAAAATATACCATTAATAGTTGGTTATTATAACCAATGAATGGTAGTTTCAACCACACCACGGTCAAACTTTCTTATTTCAACCACTGTTAAATGAACTTTGGTTTCTATCTTGCAATCAACACACAACCTGAAAGAATGTCAAAAACCAGAAATGAGCACCTAGCTAGGCTGCCCATAGGAACAGCCACAGCTTGGCATATGCCATAAAGCAAGTGTTCCTACAGTATGTATGCAACAGTATGCCTTGATATAACAACGGCTCCTGAATTAAAATACCTAATCTTGTGAGCGAGTCCATTGTAGAACACAAAGGTTTGTGAAGAGCAAAATTCAAGGTCAGTAAATTGGGCACTGACACAGACATAGACATGGACATTTTGGATTTTATTTTTAGTACCTCAATGTTTACATTTATCAAATATATTAAAGAGAAATTGTCCAGAACGTAAGGTACAAGCTATCTAAAATAACTAAAAAAGTTATTTAGTTAGACAGCTATATATCTAACAGTTTGATAGAGAAAATCCAAGTTAAAGTTTATGCAAATGATTACGAATCTATATCAGATATAAAACCTCCTTCATTGTCACGATTTCTATACACGATGTCTATATTGTGTTTCCTTCATGAATTATTAATGCGTTTTTGAATAAGTTTTAAAGGTTAAATGATAAAGTGATTTTCTAATTCGAAACAATGCCGAGCCTTAAACACAAATCGGGCACGTTCCGCAGATGTGAAATTATGGAATTCGCCAATATTAGATTTCGAGAAGCTCTTATGTAACGTGACTGCAATGTTTACATCGAAGCAGAAAACAATAGAAACGTGACGTGGTACCGCTTTGTAGATCTGGAGCAAATCACGGACTGATATATATATATATATATACATTTATATCACTTATTGATTTTCTAGGTAAATGACAAAAAAATATTAATTAACTATATAATGTTATATATAATTATTGTATAGTGAACACATGATATTAAATTTATAGCAAGGAGGAAAAAGTAACAACTCAATTGTACATGAGAATTAATTTATTCTTTAGGAATGTAATGAAGATTGCCTTGCTAAGTTGTTTTGTAGAGTCATCAATGGAATTCCAAATTTTAGCACCTATGAGTTTGATGTTCATTGAGCCATAATTTGTTCTGTGTTCTTAGGAAGCACGAAAGTCAATCTTGTGTTGTAAGCATGTCTTTTTGAGACTGGTAGAAAAAAGTTATTGAAAACAAGTGGAAAGAGAGCAATTTAGAGGAGTTAGTTATGTCATTTAGGTAAAGAAGAAAGAGTGTTGGTCCAAGTACCAAGCCTTGCGGGACGCCGCAACTTACTGTACGGATTTCTGATTCAGTATTGTCTAAAGTTACAAATTGTTTCCTATTTAAAAGATAAGAAGAGAACAGATTTCCAGCTGGACACGTATTCCATAATGTTCAAGTTTAGATAGTAACAATTGATGGTTTACAGAATCAAACGCTCTGCTTAAATTAAGAAAAATGCTACATGAATATTCATTAGCTTATRTAGCACATTGGATATTATTTACAATAGATAKTATTGCATGAATAGTACTATTGTGCTTACGGAAGTCAAACTGTTTATTGTTAAGTATATTCTTTTCATTTAAAAATTTGATTAGTCTTTTGCTTATTAATCGATCCGAAACATTCGCGAAAATATGCAATATTGCCAAGTCATTTTTCAAGATGAAGTAAGCGACGTTATTTTAAAGTATTAACACTATGATATACGCTAATTACTTTGCCAGTGACTTGCCTCCGGCCAAGAATCAGAACCCAAGAATCAGAACCCAAGAATCAGAACCCAAGAATCAGAACCCAAGAATCAGAACCCAAGAAATGCTTGCTGTTGCCATACGTACAACAGAAGGTGAACAGACCAACTTTCAAAGGTCCAAGGTTCACGATAATTCCCGCGTGTTTCTTTTCGGAGCGAATCAGAATAATTACTAATTTACTTTGTTAATAAATATTTACTATTTTAAAATGCACTCAACACAATTACTTTATTCTGATTGACTTTATTCTGATTGGACAAGGAGTGCAATTAAATCGAAAAACGACAAGCCCGATACTTTAACAATTTTTTACTCAACTGAGCTTAAAACTCCAAATTTTTAAGCGATTCATTGATGTTACGAAATTTTGTCGAGTTAGAGTAAAGGCTGCTTATTAGTATTCGCGAAAATGTCAGTTTTTTGCTGATCAAAATATCACCTCTACAAAAATACACGGCTTTATATCTCAAATACGCATAAATAAATTTTGGTCGTATTTAATATTTTGATATTTGGCTCCAAAAGAACGTGTTTACAAAATATTGAGCTTAAATACGTAAAGCTGTCCTTATTACGAAAGGCCAAAAACCGTTTTTCTGCCCTGTCATATATGACCGTTTAAAGTATCAGGGTACCCCAAACGACCATTGTGCATTCAACTCTTAATAGCACAAAACCTTTTAATCGAAACCTCAACAAAGTATACATTTTCTGAAAGCTGAATAAATGTCGAAACTATTCTTTTTTTCCTTTTTGTAAAATATATTTATCCTTTTAAGCGAATTATTCAAATTTACACCGTGGCACCTTCGCGGAGTTTGGTGACAGCCGGTAATGATCGGAAACCACTTGCTTATTACCTTTCCGAGATCACAAGTCATCACTTGTCAAGGGTGTTTCTCCGATTTTTGATTAGTTGCCCCGTTGCTTTTTTCTACGCTCTTAAAGTTATGACGCTGCTATATCACTGGTATGTAAACCAATATCCACGATAACTTTTGAAATAAGCAAATAAATAAATAAATAGATAAATAAATAAATAAA